TGTGTGTGTGTGTGTGTCTGTGTGTCTGTGTGTATGTGTCTGTGTGTGTCTGTGTGTATCTGTGAGCACACTCATGCATGCATAAACACACATGCACACTTGTGCACACATGCCATGGCACACAGGTGGAAGGCAGAGGAAAACTTTTGAGAGTCAGTTCCCCCTCCTACCGTGTGGATTCCAGGGATCAAACTCAGCTCATCAGTTCCCGTGGCAGCATCCTTACCCACTGAGCCATCTCACTGGCCCTTCCCGTAGACTCTTAACATCTGCTTCCATCTTCCTCTGCATCTCCATCTCAGTCTTTCCAAACTCTGACTCTGTGTGCGTGTTCTGTTTCTCTCTCTATTCCTCCAGGTTCTGTGGATCTAACTTTGCCCTCACTCACCCAATATACACAGAAATCTCGAGTCTCTTCTTCATTCAATAACATATTTATATAAATGTGTGTGCATGCATGTGCGCATGCATGTGTGTAGACACACATACACAAATGTCCTTGAGACCAAGGAAGAATCCATAGGGATTTTCAGACCATGACTATGAGGATTAAGAGACCTGGGCAGGGACAAGTTCAGAAACTACGGAGGAGTTTTCAGGATTAAGGGAAGAGCTGCAGTTTCATGTATTTGCTCTCCCGGGCCCCTTCACCCCATAAAAGTCATGTTCACTCTCTAATGAGGGCCATTGAAGGTGTGTCACTTCAGAGAAGCCCTTGTGTCATCTCCAGTTACAGCTTCCAGCTCTGTCCTTTCATCCCCTTGCTGTGTTTGCAATGCAGATTGCAGCTGGCTGCTGGAGATGCCTGGGGTACCATCCCCAGCATCTGGTCTGCAGACCAGCTACACAGAAGCAGGCCTGGCTTCTCTGGACTGCCTGAGACTGCGCTGTGTGGGGCTGCAGTGCAACGTGGCTGCACTGCCTGTGAGCACCCAGAGCCCAGGCTCGGCCATGGGAAGGGAAACATGAAGGAGAAGGAAGGGTGCCCTGGAGCAAACATTGAGCTCAAAGGAAGAAATATCCAAATGGTAATCTTTTTCTAATATACTTGATGGCCAGCTCAGGTGTGTTTAATTTCTTGTATCCTTGGAGGACATGGGTGCAAACACGACATATGCCTGAGAACCAACCATATAGATTATTTTTGCTTGAATTATATGTATTCTACAATCAAATTTTTAACTTTTTTCCCCCAAAACAAAAAAGCTCTTCACCCACGAATTTCAGTATCGTGAATCCCCATCACACTTTTCATGTAGGTTTGTTCACGTTTGACTAGCATTTGGGGTCCCTTTACATCCAACTGTAAAGTGTGCATCTCTCTGGGGAAAGGATGGTCATTTACATAACCGCAGTGTATTAATCAAACTCAGAAGATTCCTTCTATTAAAGGATAGCTCATTTACATCAACTGCTTATTGTTACAGCACCCAATACTCCTTCACGCAGTTACTAAGTAGTTCAGGGCATGGAGGAAATGATACCAATGTCGGATTTATGTGACTTGACCAGATATTCACCAGATAGACCGAGACGGCAGTTTAGTGTGTATATACATACATCAAAATGGTGCATGCACCTGTGGGGATTTTGAGAGACCACTGATCCCGTAGGGCCAGCTGAGGGGCCGATACACACAAGGAACCTAGCATACCAGAAGAAACAGCAGCTAGAACCCAGGGCACATCACATCCTGCTTCCCCACTTCACCTCCCTTCACTGAGATACAGAAAATAGCACCCGTGAGGCAGAGGCCAGCCTGGTCTCCAGAATGAGGTTCAGAACAGCCACGGCTACACCAAAAAATCCTGCCTCAAAAAAAAAAAAAAAACAAAAACAAAAAACAGCTCTGGCTTCTCTTCCAGAGAACTCTCATTTGATTCCAGCACCAGCACAGGGGCTCACAACCATCTAACTTCAGTTCCTGGGGATCTGACCCCCTCTTCTGTCCTCTGGGCACTAGGTACATATGTGGATATACATGCAGGCAATACACAAATTTTAAATTTTATATTCATATATGTATGTAATGTGTGTATGTACATACATTTAAATAAGTTCAAAAAATAAAATCTTTCAGTGTCAGCAAATGCTGAGCAGATTGGTGACCTAAATTCAATCCCCAGGACTCATGGGTGGAAAGAGAAAGAGGGCACTTTAGTTAGGTATGATGATAATGCCTGTGTGTCTAGGTATGATGATAATGCTTGTGTGTCTAGGTATGATGATAATGCCTGTATGTCTAGGTATGATGATAATGCCTGTATGTCTAGGTATGATGATAATGCCTGTATATCTAGGTATGGTGATAATGCCTGTGTGCCTAGGTATGATGATAATGCCTGTATGTCTCGGTATGATGATAATACCTGTATGTCTAGGTATGATGATAATGCCTGTATGTCTAGGTATGATGATAAATACCTGTGTGTCTAGGTATGATGATAAGAGCCTGTGTGTCTAGGTATTAATATTCTTTAAAAATGCTGGCTTGCCCCCCCGAGCGGCCTGCTCAAGATCCCCAGGCAGCGGGCTCGCAGAACAGCCGCGAGCCTGGCAGAGAGGGCTGCCAGAGCAGTGCAGATTCCCTACGGCGAGCGGCAGAGCAGTGGCTCATCCCAGACAGGCTGGTGCTGCCATGTGGCCGGGAGAGTCACCCAAGCAGGCAGGTGAGCAGGTGGCGGATAAAGGGCTT